CCCCAAAACCCCAAAACCCCAAAACCCCATTTTCAAGCCAAAAAATTGTTAGAAATACCCTTTAGAATAAATGGATCTACTCTAGAAAATTGTTCCGTTTGACAGATGCTTTCCAAGGACTTCGACAGTCCCCAGATGGATTGTGTAATCTCTTACGCTTCGGAGCTCGCTTTCGTGTCTACAATTTTATACTGAGACTAACCTGCTCAACTCCCTTCAGAACTCTAGCATGGATCAGATCAAGGTTAGACTCTCTCTTGATGCGCACTGGCTTCATGGCCTTCCGCTCTTTCTTCTTCGGCTTGGGAGGACTTTTGGTTGTGTCTATTTGGACCTTCTCGTTTATGGTCTTTGAGTTGTCCACTCTAAACATCTCATGAGCAATTACATTTGTTTTGTCTGTGAGTCAGATGAAAACACTTACAGTTCCTACAAGCTCCAGCTTTAGGTTCGACGGGTTGATGTCCATGTATATTGGCTATAAGTTACTCTTGTGCGGTACAATCGAGGGTTGTAGCTCTCCGATGTGCAGCTCACTGATCTTCTTGTTTCGGAACACTCCGACTCGAGGCCTCACTATAATTACACACGTCATTACACAGTGGCAAGATCTCTTTGGCGTAAAGCTGGTGACCCCGAATTTTGATCTTTTTACCTAGACTATTTGTTTGGAGATTTCTTGGTCAAAATTCTATGGAAATATCGTTGTATCGTACGTTTTGTTTTTTCTGTGTCTGTGTACAGCAGTCTTTGGCCGTTTGGGCTTGCGCTCCTTTGTTGGACTCTTCCCCATGAACTCAGGCCCAGCGTTGAGATCGACTCTGCTGATGCGACCTTTATCGTTTGAACAATCAATGGTCCGGATGAGGTCTAAAGTTCCATTTATCAGCACAACCACTTACCGTCAATCTGAGAGATCTCGAACTCATTCTTATTTTTGACTTTATAAAAACTCAGGTCGCCTTTGATTATTTTCGAGTGGAGCTTGGCTCTTCTACCATAGGCTTTACCTGGGTGAGACACCTTGCGTTTCTTGCGGAAACTCCTACCTGATCTTCTTCGCTACTGCTTAGATGTGACTTACCATTGCCCACCATCATGTCGAAGTCACGGACCTTGATGCTTGTGATTGTTTGGGGCGAATTCACCGCTGATAAAATTCTCCTGCCAATGTAATTTATTAGTTACTTGCGACCGGCACGTGGGTTGGTGGCTCTCATCGAAGTCAACGAGTTGTTCCTGGACTCGAATGGGCAAGGACCTTCGATCGCCACTGTGCTGTTTAAGTTTCCTCTATAGCCTGCAAACATTAACATTAAGAACGAGCTGAGATCTTACCTGAGAGCCCATTTATTGGCGGACTCTTGAGCTGGACTCGCTTGCTCATGTTGATTTTGTATGCGATCGGGCTCACGGCTTCGAGCAGCGGATCTTCATCAGGCTAGTCTGGTGATGAGAAGCATACCTTAAACTGCTTTGTGTTTGTTACGATTTCTGAGGCCCTGCCACTCTTCGTATTCGGTCCTGAATTTGCTAAAGAAGATAGGACACGTCTTTGTTGTTGGGTCTTGCTGAACTCCAAGTCATTTCGTTGGGTTCAACTTCATCGTTCAGCATTGAAATTGTCTGACACTCTTTGGCTTCTACAAGTGATGACAAGGCTTACCCTTCATTTCAAACTCAATTTATTGTTTTTATTAAGGGGTTTTGGGGTTTTGGGGTTTTGGGGTTTTGGGG